TAAAGCCCTACTTCCTATTTATAAAGTGAAGAACTAAAGTGTAAATGAACTTCAAGTGAGTGACACTTATTTGATAAGTGTGATTCCGCATTTATGTTGTAGATACTTAATTATGCATGTTTCATGAATAGTTTAGGGGGGGGAAATCCAGTATTTAATGAGAAAGGATAAAATAAAACGAGTTTTAATTAAAATGGACCAAAGTTCGATGACTTCGGGAACTTGAGGATCAAAATGTCAAGTTTGAAAGTTGAAGAGCCCTACATACAATATGTGATGAGGATGAACAAGTAATTGGATCCGGGCACCAAAACGCACATGATAAAAATGGGAACCTTGAATGCATAATAACCCGTAGCCAAAAATACATAATCATGCAATCGCATCTTGTCCAACAGTCTGATTGCATGGTTCTGACGAGACCAGAATATTTTCCTTTTCCCACTTGAGCTCAACATCTACATTGGATATAATTTGGAGCTCGATTGGACCTAATAAAGGAAGGGGAAAAAAGGCTAGGATTTCAAGATTAAGACTTGGAAATTGAGATTTTTGGTGTAAAATTGTCAAATTTTCGTCATCTTTATTTAATTTTGGTGATGCGCTCAATTCTTTTGTTCTATTTTTATTTCATCATCATGTGTAACTAAGCTCATACTTGGGGACAAATGATGTAACTAGTGCGTTTTAAGATTCTTGTAGTCAAGTTTTTCATGTGTTCTCGTTATTTTAAAGTTCTTAATGCTATGAAATAGTTGACCAATAATATTACTTCGAATTGTGAATTTATAATGAATCGAGAGTTACTACATAAAAACATAGACAATTTAGATAAAATGGCAGAGATATACCTTATGGTTGTCATAGTCATTAATTGTACTCTTAGGAGCATGAATGCATCTAGTTAGTTAAGGCTTACTTGGATTTACAAAGAGATGTGGTCAAATTAACTTAGCGAGAGGATTAATTTGAATGCGATAGAGGTAATTTGATTGATTAATAAGAATTCAAAAGAGTACAACATTAGAAATTAACCTTAGGAAGTGAGATTAAATGTGATAACTACGGTAAAATTGCTAGTCCCACTATTCTGCATTCATATATAAAAACTCTAACTTTAATTAATTATTAATTCAATTTAGTAGGTTAAACAAATAGGAACTTAATTGAATTGCATTTAATTACTTTTATTCAACCAGGAGTTAGAAACAATAAATCAACGATCACACAGTTGTCTTTAGGAAAGATAATCTAAACTTATAGGTTCAATATATTACTAGTTCAGTGTATCGCTTGCTATACACAAGACTAATAAATTGATAAAATACTACATATATAATTACTGAGATATAACTTTAATCAATTTCTACCTTCAATCCTAATCTTGTCGGATATCTTCAATTTCTCTCCTTATTCTAAATCTAATACACTTAAAACTCTAGTTTGAATTTTTTAGAATAGACTTCCCTATGTCAACTTTGAAATAACATATTCCCCATAATCGAAAATATTAATTAAAAAATAAAATACCTAACGTATCTCTTATTTCATTGAAACACATTATAATATATTCATCAAGGCCAAAGCCAAACATGAAGGTACCATAGATGTATATATGAAGTATTTCTTTCTTTATTTTATTTTTTGTTTCATGAGAACTTAATTGCTCCAATAGAGAACTTTTTTTTTTTTCTTTTTTCTGTTTTCCTTTTTAATGTTTTCACCACAGAAACTGTAAAAAGGATAATTTCAATTATTTCGCGTAAAGCGAATATATTGCTCAAGTCATACATATGTAAATTATTTCTTATCTTTGTAAATGTCGAAATGCTTAGATACGTAAATGATAATGTATATTTGTTATCACTGAATTAAATCTTGATATTAAATATACTAAAATGTATTACTTATGAATCCATAAATTATAATTCTTTATTATTTTTTTATTTTTGGCTTTAGTGTCTAGATAATAAGACATTATATTTATTAGAAATAATGAGGGTGCGTTATCGTCTATGAAAGAGTGAATTCCCAACAATTTCATATAAAGGACTTTGTGAAGCTAGCTATGTTTTAGTTTTTAGATCTTGAGAGATTGAAACAAGAAGATAATAATAGCTTTGTCACAAGTCTCATACGCTGACAAGATATTCATCAGATTTGTTCTGCAAGATTTTGGCATCAGGCATGGAATCCAACTCTCTAAGGATGAGTCTTCTAAGACTCTTAAAAAGATTGAGTACATAAGTAGGGTACTTTATGCATTGGCAGTAGGTAGACTTATGTATATTATGCTATGTAATAGACCTGACACTTGTCATACTGTTTGTATGGTAAGTCGAGATCTCTTTGACCTTGATCGAAACACTGAATGACGATTAAGCATATTTTTAAGTACCTTCGGAGAACAATGAATTATATTATCATCACAAGATTTTGTTTCGATGGGCTAAATCATTTGGACTTTCGGAGTGGTGAAGACTATTTTCAAGTCTGCATCGGTATCACTGTTTACACTTGATGGTAGGGCCATTATTTGGAGAAATATCAAGCAATCATACATTGCTGATTCCACCATTGATACCAAGCATTTGGTAGCATTATGAAGGTACTAAATTGGCCGTATGACTTAGAAAATCCTTATGGACATCGAGGAGGTACCTACATCTACACAACCCTTTACATTGTATTGGGATTATAGTGGGATTGTTGTAAATGTTGAAGAACCAAGAGTCATCAGAGGGGAAAACATATTGAACGGAAAATATCATCTACTATGAAAGATGGTCTAAAAAATGTGGTTGTTAGCAAGATTGCTAATACGGTAACCTTGTACACATGTTTATTAAAAGCTTGTTGGATAAAGTTTTTTGAGGGATAACTGCAAGACATGACACATGTACTCTAGGGAAGGTGGGAGAGTTATTGGGTGGTGTGTCCATATAGTATATTTTGCTATGATAAAATAATAATCTATATAAATAAATTGTGATTTTATTTATTTATTGCATTTTCATTATGGAGCATGCGAATTAAAGTGTATGATCACTTGTTAAAATATAAGCTGCAGTGTGACACAAACTTATATTTGATAATAAATAATTTGTTCACAGTCAATATATAAGGGTTGGCACATTGTACTAGATGGTCGTAGTACTAACTAATTTACTATTTGGGTTTGTGATTTGTCCATGTCACAAAAATAGTAAAAGGTGACATTAGTACACTTGGAGTGTACTGAATGGATTACATGTCAAATTTAATTCGATAGCTATAGCATAACCTTGTCGTGAATTAAATTCCACTTGACTGCTACGTATTTCATCTAAATATTTGACAAGGTTATATATCTTTTCATGATTTTAATGGTTCTTTTAATCATCAATGCGTGAGATCAGTTTGAGTGGTCAAATATCTCGATGAGTTGGGAAGTTGAGGATGAGCGAAATAGAGAACAAGAATTCGTGTTGGGAATCACCACCCTAAAAAATGAGTAAAGTGACTACTTAAGTATTTTCCGTTGAACGGTTAAAATCTAAGATCAGTGTTAGCAACGACTAAACTTTGACATCTATGATTAGTTCATATGACCATTAAAGAAAATAATGCTTAAGTTAGTGAGAATAAGTAAAAGAGCAAAACGATCATTTATGTTGGCACTTAATTATTGGATCTCGAACAAGCATAGAGTACATATACGACAGGTGAGAGGAAAGTATTACATATTTATTGGCTTCTATAATCTTATAGATTCCAAGAAGAATTATGCTATGTGTACACCTCATGGTATATACAATGGATTACACCCCCTCACATGGAGAGGGCCCACGAATATTTTTATTGTATGCGGGCCTCTTCCATGTGAGGAGGTGCAATGTTGTGTACATTATTGTGTACACATAGCATTGTCCTTTCAAGAATCCAGTCTTTTATCTTTAGTCGAAAAAGCAAAGACTAATAATTAAACTGGGTGGTCTAGGTTCGATTAAACAGGATCTAAGTATTGGAACTTAATTACGATAATGATAATAGTTTTTGGATAAATTATAATTACAATAAAGTTTTTACTTGGTTGTAATTATTATGAAAGTTGTAAACTTAATTATAATTATAATTGAAATTCTAGGACTACAAATGTAAATAAATGTGAACTAATTGGATTTGGACTTTAATTAAAACTTCTATTTGGATTTTCATTAGAGCTCCTATTTGAATGTAGAATTATTGTTCTACAAGGATTGGAACTATTTTATCCCTATAAATAGAGATTAGATAGAATCTAGATATCCAATGGGGTTGTAACAATCATAATACATAATTTCATAGTGTTCAAATTTGGAGATAGAAAAAGAGAGAAAATAATTATTTTCTTACTTTTCAATTGTCTAGTTCAAGAATTAGTTTTTTGATTTAATTAAAAAGAATGTGCCTATCCATCGGCATAGTCTTGACTTTTGAGAATACCATAGAAGACTTGAAGGTTTAAAGTATAAAGTTCTTGCAATTAAAAGTTGGAAGTTCGTGATCCAAAAAGTTGTAAGTTAGTGATTGAGAATTAATTAAATAATTGATCATCGAGTTTAGGTAAAAATTCAAATTTTTTATTCTTGATATAACATAGAACTTCTAGACGATCTTGTTAATGAATTAAAGAAATTTTTAATTTCTTGATAATTCTGCTTCCAAAAAATGTCGCCGACACAATCACCATTACAAGATGTCACCAGCACCTCTCTCTTCCCGGTCTGATTTGAATTTTGAAGGACAGAATTTGAATATTTCTCACTGTCCTTACTTTTTCCTCTGTGTGTTGAGGGAGAAAAAAGTAATGAACTTGCATTTAAGCATGGTGGGTTCATAAGTTTCAATAACGATGTTGAGAAGACCGTTGCTATCAGGTTGTTACACTTAGATGCTAGTGGATTTGTCTGTTTTATTTACATATTAAATTTCTGTGAATGCAATTTGTAATGGTTTTTCCATTCTTGATGTGTATATAGGCTGTGTTCGACTTGAAAAGTGCAAACCAAGAGATTAAGAGCGACTTGAAAGATCTCTCAATGTCAACTCTGCCACATTATTGTGCAGATGAAGGCTGGAGATGCTGCCAAGGCTGACAAGAAGAAATAAGTTTATTTAATTGGTTCTCTCTGGTTTTTGGTTTTACCTTTTCTTTTATTAAATACATGTAAATTTTATTAGTAATTGTTATTTATGCAATTACAATTATCATTTTGTAGATACTATTGAATGTTTCTTGTTAATTTCTTTATTTTTTTTATTTTCTCGTGCATTATTTATTAATTAAAAAATTTATGAGTCATAGAAATCAACTTGTGGTTGTTAAAATTTTTACCAAACCATTGCTTAAAATATTAGCAGCTATCAAATATTGACTATTAATTATCTTTTATTGAGCTATTCAACATATAGCAACTAAATATTGGTTAGTAAATATCTTTTTATGATCAATATTGGTTAGTGGAAGACAAAAAAATAAAAATAAAAATGAATGAATAAATAAATAAATAAATAAAAATAATTAAATTGTTGATCAACCATTTACAGACTAGTGATTGGTATGTGACATGTAACGTTTTTTTACTGGTAGTTCTTCGGAGACCAATATTTGGTTGTTGAAAAATTATAATGGTTTTCATAAATACTTTTTACCGACCAAAGTTTAGTCGCTAATGGGTGGAAATCAATCAATTTTTACTATTATTAGCCACCAAACTGAGCCCTTTACCAACCAAAGTTTGGTCAATGAATTCAATAGATTTAGCAATGACCCACTTTAATTGGTTGCCAATGACTTTCGCCAACGGGGTAAATGGGTAACTTTTCTATTTAATCCTATAAAATAATTAAAATAAATAACTAAAACAAATTAAAATAAAAGGAAAAAAACTATTCATCTGCTTCTTCGTCTCATCCTACCCACCCCACTCCATCTTCACCCCACTTTCTTAGCATGACCACAGCCCCCTTGGGCCCCAACAGGCCAACACTAATCACAATTGAATCAACACCCACACTCCGGCCTCTATGGCCTCCGCCGAAGACCCCAATAACGCCCGTGCCACCCTCTACAATGAAGATGAGGACCTTCTCGATGAGGAAGATGATGATGACAGCTCTAACCACGGCGAAGATGTCAATCTGGATGTATAACTATAAATTAAACGTTCATTTTCTTCCTATAAACCACACTCCAAATCCCAATCAAACACCCAAGTAAATATGTACACATACCCCCACACACCCACATATATATAGAAAGAAGAGGGTTGTTGATTAAGGTGGGGTGGGATGATGGGGTGTAAGGATGGGTGGTGTACCTCTAGAACACCACAGATTACATCTGCCAAGTCTATGGTAATTATTATAATAATGCTCAAATTTCGGCCAATTGCACCGAAACCCACAGGCTGTGAAGCCGTTTTCAGTGGTATTTTACAAGAGAAAAGTACAAAAAAAAAAAAAAAAAAAAAGAAA